TTAGCATCATTTCCCTCATCCGAAAATGTCCCCTAAATCCCGTTTTCCAAACGATGAATTTCGAACAGACTGAGAAGTGAGCATAAAAGCGCGTCCAGCATTTTCTCCTCGCACTCAATGTACAGCCTCTTATGTGCATTCTGTTACATAGAAAACCCTGAAGTTGTATTATCAGTCTCACCCTCAACTCTTCACATAGATCACAGACATTTTCGTACGTACCCGCGCATCGCCGTGCGCAAGCGGTGACCAGAGTGTCTACACGTACACATCTACCCCTCTCCCTCGTTCATGTGTACAATCCGAGTGGCCCAACGAGTACATACATATCGGTCGTTCCTATCGATTATTTTCTCCATGTGGAACTTTCCCCTATTCTACTTGCACCCCTCCCCACTTGGCGTCGCGACGCCCCGGTATAGAGCGAGAATATCGACGTTACATCGTCGAGTCACCCTTACCCCCTCCGGCCCACCCCTCCAGTCGCCCCTCGCACTGTGGGAACAATAATCAGAGGCTCCCTGCGAGTCTCTAAAAAATACTCATCATTTTTCATCGCACGAAGGACTTCTAAACCCATCCGACATTCATTTTCCCGAAAAAAACAAACCATTCCGCGTTATCTGCCGCCATACGGCGTTACTTATCTCCCGCTGTGCATCAAATTCCCGCTTCACCCCCAAATTAACCGAAATTTTCATCGATTTCCTGAAGTTGACGCTTCAATTACCATCTCAAGCTTTTCCTTCCCCCAAAATACGCTATAAAATTCCTCGAGAACAGTCGCCGCTGACCCCGGGCTCCCCAAACAAAACAATCCACCCCTGAATCCACCCCAGTTATATTCCAACCCCACATTCATCCCCACCCAAGCCACCCCACAACCCCTCGTATCGAGTTCGTTACAGATCCCCGTTAGCAAGATCGCTACCCCTGACTCCCCTCCCCTTAGACCCTCCACCAAGCCCCCCATCGCCCCTCGTCCTCGCTCATGATTTGCGCAACCTCCGTTTTGGTCATCCAAACGCGCTTTTCTTCTCGGCTTCAATCCTCAAAAGTCCTTCGCACCAACTGCGTTCAAGTGAATATCAACATCTCCACATTCTCAACAAATACCCCTCAACGCCGTCAAATCAATATCAAATCAATCCTCCGTATTCCCTCGAAAAAAAAACCCTGAAAAATTACCGGAGAAGAACTCCCCGTGTGAAACTTCGAAACTGAAGCGCGTGCGCTCGTCGGATACATCGGCAACGCACGCAGACAAAGCGTTCTCAGGGAAAATATCCACGAGTGTGAAGGAGACAGAACCCCCAATGTTGCCACACGTATGACAAACACACACACACACACAAAGAGAAGAAGAGAAACGCCGGGTTAGGGGACTGCAGAAGGAGGAAAAGGGGTCGGGGGGGAGGATTGAAGCGTCGCGCGTGCAGATACGTGAGTTAAGGTAAGACCCTGGCGGCAGACAAAAAGTCTCTTTTCCCGCGATGCTGATGGAACGGTCGAACTAGCGTCGAATATATCGAGTGATAATCGTTGGTTATCGATTAGCGAGTGTGATTATCCAAGAGGGATACGTGTGTGAGACTGTAGTTGGGGATATTACCGAGGGGCAACTGAAGTGAGGGCTGTGGGCGCCAGTGGTCTGCCATTGATTTCTTTATTGACTTCAGTTTGATTCCCATCGACGGAGATATTCCCTCATCGGCGTCGGTTCCGAATTGCAATCCACATCGTGATTTCGAAGGGAATCTGATGATTTTTAATCGAAGCCGCGCCATGACAGTTGAAGCATGACGTCAGGAAAACAAACCCTCGTCCTCGGGACGCACTGGAGGCGCCGTTAAGTCGCAATGGCCGATGTGGGCACCCAGAGTCGCCATTGATTCTTCATTGACGTCGGATTCCGCAGCGCTCGACCATTACGACGTGCGATCGTCTCGCCTGATCAATTGCATCGCGACGGGGGCTCAACAGAAGCTGATTGAGTTGTACAACTAAAATTCTGAGCGAACAATTACCTCCTGAATAACTCATTGATTATTAAACTATTAAACCCAAGTGTTGAGGTAACACAGGTGCTATAGGATCCGTGTTTATACTCTGGGAATATCGGCGCATCGAGCTACAGCGGTCACGAGGTATCGGAAAATCGATAGAAACCTGACTGGCGTCGGTTGGAGGGGGGTTGGACGATTAGTGGGGAGAGCTTCCAGGATTTTCGGCGGATCTTTCCAAACCTCGTAACCTTCAACGAATGATAATTACCGCATGAGAGATACCGCGTCACCCCTGCCTGGTAACAAAACACAAAGCGCATCCGAAAATAACCGACATTACAAAATGAAATGTTGAGAGTGAAATTGCGAAAGGGTAGGTCCCATCTCAGTGAAATACTGGGAATAAAGAAATAGAAAAGGTGGGCCGGTAATTCTTGGAACACCTGGACCAGCCGCACGCGTCAGACGTCGGTTGTAGGGGTGCAAAAGCCCAGGGAAGGAGGTGTTTCACGGGCAAAACTGGTGGGGACGCTTCTGTTAAAGGGGGGTAGAGTGAGAAAACGCTAGGGGAAGTAGACGAGACGGTCCGGTTCTTGGGGGCTCACCGGTGTCGTAACTGCTGTGTGCTACTGGCTTGGTGCTAAGCCGCCCCTCTAAGTACTCTCTCTCTCTCTCTCTCTTTCTTACCGAAGCAAAACGTTGAACACACGTGAAATTGAGAGGGGTCGCGAGAGAGAGAGGGCAGAAGAGGTGAAAAAAAAAAAAAACAACGGTGTGTGTGTGCGTGTGTCGTCTCACTCGCTTCGCGTATGTCATGGGCGCACGTTGGATGCCACTCTCGTGCAGAAGGATCGAATCGAGGATCCGGGGTAATGTCGAATTAATACGTAATCAGTGGGATGATTCAGTGGTAAATTACCGGGCACGAGAGTATCTGTTTTGTTGACGTTTTGGGTTATGCGGGCTGTGGTGTCAGTGTTTTCGGTTGTATCTGTTGACAGAGGAGAGAG